CCAGAACGCTCACCACACATCAGCTATCAGTGGGGAGGAGAGCAGAGTAATGAAGCCAATTCACAGAGGGGGATTGTTAGGAGGCCATGATTGATAAAGGCCGATGGGGACAATTTGGCCAGGATGCCAGGGTTAAACCCCTACTCTTTTCGAGAAACACCCTGGGATTTTTAATGACCACAGAGAGTCAGGACCTCAGCTTTACGTCTCATCCGACGGATGGCGCCTGTTTACAGTATAGTGTCCCCATCACTACACTGGGGCATTAGGACCCACATGAGCCGCAGGGTGAGCGCCCCCCTGCTGGCCCCACTAACGCCTCTTCCAGCAGCAACCTTAGTTTATCCCAGGAGGTCTCCCATCCAGGTACTGACCAGGCGCACACCTGCTTAGCTTCAGTGGGTTGCCAGTTGTGAGTTGCAGGGTGATATGGCTGCTGGCTTTATATAAATAATTACATAAAAAGATAATTGTAAAATGAAAGCAGTGAATTATTTGACTTTGTTTTACTCATGAATCCTTTCATCCTTACATAAGTAAAAAAAAACTACCTGCATATTAGCAGGTGAACATAGGCGCCCTCAGGGCACTCAAAAGAAACCATGAAGATCAGTATTTGCAGGATCAAGGACTACAGGATTATATAGATAATGGGTCGTATTCGATTCTGAAAAATCTCTTAAGCTTTTACAGGTTAGCTCATGTACACCTACATGCATAACCCATTCTCTTTCAAGAAAAAGGTTCTTGAAATATTTTCTTTACAAAATCTCCCTGAAACGTTATCTTGCAAAGCCTGGATTATGACAAACAATAAGCCCTTGGATTAATCTTTGCATTGCGGCTGCTGTTTTACAAGCTCTCCCTGCACGAAGACCTGAAATTGCACACGCACCAGTGCAGGAACTACAGCAAGCCGTAAACACCTACCATGGCGGGCTCCGAGGGTCCTTCTTCTGGGTCCTGTGTGGTGGCTACGTACTGGTGAAACAACCTCAAGTCCTCCTCGTAGCACAGGCAGTCGTACCAGTAACGCAGCTCTTCGTATCTACGGCAACAGAGAGGGCAGGGCTTAACAGGGCACGAGGCTGTACCGACGTCAGCCATCCCAGAGCTCGACAGCAAACAGCAGCACTTTACAAGCGCAAAGGAAGGAAACGCTAACAACCCCAGGGTGCTTCAAACTTGGCGTCTCCAGCCATTTCAGGTTTTCTGAACCTCCGCCACCCCACTGCCGAGTATATTAAGCCCCAGGTGTGACAGACAACTCTGGGGCAGCTCAAGAGGCAAAGATGAAATGGAACCTTTTAAAACGTAAATTAGTGAGCTGAGGAGCGGGGAGACACAGGAGTGCCGCAAAACAGTTGAGACTGGTTAAAAATGCAAAATGCTCAACCGATATGGTACACAAATCAGATCACACACTTCCAGCTCAATTGCTTTACACAGCACTGTGTTGTCTGTGACAACGGTAAAAAGCACTTGCTGGAATGACAGCTTGTGCTCAATTCCACCACCTGCTTTTTAACGCCACTACAAACGCACGTTTCCAACTGGACAGAGAGGACTATCCCTATATTACCAGGAGTAACAGCTGTAAAGTATCGTCTCCGTGTCTGAAACTACATTGTTGCAGCAAAAACCCAACACTCGTGGAGTGCATCCACACAGAACTCTATCTCCCTCTGAACCTCTGCGTAAGACAAGGCTGTACTGGAAACAGGACACTTTCCCCATGCAGAGACATCAGTCAGCCTAGGAGGGAAGAGGTGTGTGTGTGTGGGGGGGGTGCTTGCTTCAAGACCCAGCTCAAAAAGTGCACAGGCTTCAACCATTTGAAAACTGCACCCTCCATAAAGCCAGACAAAAATCCATTTCTCTGTTGCTCAAGCAGGGCAGGTGAATGCTGTGAACAGCGGACAGCTGGAAATTGTAGAAGACACGCTCCTCTGGGCTTGAGGAAACCCAAAACCTGGGTGGACTGGGTGTGCAAGAACCATCAGTTAAATCCGTTCAAGAAATGGTCCTGCATTTTGGGCACGTTCTCACACCTTTGACGCCGTAGTGGGAGTTGTGGAGTACCATCCCTATTAAGGCAGCTTCGCGAGTTGCCACGAGCAGGAGTTTGAAAGAGACCGAACTGACAAGGCCAAGATTTTCAAAATCCCCGCATCAAAGCGAGGCATTTCTTGCAAGCAGGAGGCCAAAAAGGATCAAACGCTCCACGATAAACTTGCCGATTATCGGAGAGGTGCTGTGGGGAAAGAGAATTGATTTTTTGCCTGGCTGAATTGCTACGATTTCCTTGCAAGTTACCTATCGTAGTCTTGCGGGTGAAGGCGCCTGCCATGCTGTATCAGATTGTCCCAGTATAGGAGCTCCTCATACGCCAGGCGCTCGTCCCAAACTGGCATCGGCACCGCCTCGACTCGCTTAGTCTTACCACCCCTTTTCTGACCGCAACCTCTGCCCATCGCCTGCAATTAAACGGTCAGCCTTTCAACCCACAGACGTACAAGGCACCCAAGGAAGTTCTCTTGTCATCTTAGCAGTGCCCAAACGCTTGCCCGGTTCCGCAGACCAATCACTGACCCGGGTTCAGACCAGGAAGGATTCCTAAAACCAAGCCGGCCCCAGCCAATTTTTCCAGGCCAGATTAAAATTCTCATAAGCGATCCACGGTGTGACCTGAAGTTGGGACTCTGGAAATAATGACTGGGAAAATACAAGCAAGACAGTTGCCAAGACTGAAGCTCACTTCAAGCTTCAAAGAGCCACCCAACACCCCCAGCTCTCCTTCTGCCACTTGCTTGCTGCAGCCCTTATGATTTACACAATGGAAAATGTGTTGGATCGCACCACATTACAAATTCAAACCCATAACGCATAATGTTTGGGACTGAGGCCACAAAACATGCAGAGTCAATATTATACAAAAGCCTTTTTAAGACTCGGCAGCATCGACAACTCAAATCAGTAAAGCGCAGTGCCTTTTCATGGTTGGCACAAACCGCGAACTTGTGAAAGTGGCCACACCTGTTCCCAGCCTATAACAAATGCCCTTGGGCACTCTTAAGACTCAATAGTTTCCAGTGTCCAACTCAGCCAACTCCATAAACAGTTCTACCAGTACATCTTCATTACAATGATGCTCACCCATGCACATAGGTTAAACCCCCCCACCCCACAGAATTAACTTCTCCACTGACATCCTCCCCCAGTGAACATGAGAGTATCCAGTCTCTAGGAGAACACATCTGCTTGGCGAAACTGGACATTGGAAATCAAATGATTTACAATTCGTCTCTGTCAATCATGGCTCTTGTATAATCCAGTTTTAATCTACTCAAAACATCCAGATCACTGCAGAATTACACAACCGCACATCCTCGTCCCACTAGAGGCTTCAAAACCCACTGTCATGAGGAAAAAAGTGCCAAGGAAAGAATCCGCTGATTTTTGGAGTCTTCAGTGTATGTCATGTAATTTAACAGCCCCTCCTACTTGCTCCAAGATATAACAGGATGCTCTGAGAAACAATTTTGTGATCTAACCCAGGGAAAGCATTTCAACCCTGGTACTGGGGGGGGGGCATTGAATGTCTGTTGGTTTTCAAAGTCTAGTTAAAACAGCAGCAATTGGAAGAAGCAGTTAAACTTGGTCCTGTCAATGCAGTAACCACAATATTTAGCTTGTTAAATAGCTGGGTTGGGGTGAAAACCTTCAAAATACATCAAGACTGGACACTCGTGGCCCAAAAGGAACAAAAACCATGCAATTTGAACAGATCAGGCTTAAAAGCAGCAGCCTAAATTCACACAAAAGCTAAAACAGAATTGTGTATTTGTAAGGGTATCTCACCAGCAATTGCCTCAACTTTCTTCAAGTAGCAAAGTAATCAGGTCGTGTGGCAGGCAGTTTCAGCGCAGCCAACAAGAGGCAGATGCTCATACAAGAGCCTCGCAGACCTCCCCTCTACACTTACCAGACATGTGGAGCCCAAAAACACATGCTGGGAGAAACAGCTGAGAGCAGGCATTAGCAGATTCCAAGTGCTTAAAATGTTAAAATCCGTAACGTTAGAACTCCAGTCTTAAAACGGAGTTTTGCACTTTAAAAAAACAGAAATCAGACCGTTTTGAATTTATACTTTAAGTTAACTATGTTTCACAAGTAGTCATTTCGGTTGCATTCAACCGAAAGGTTAACAATTCAATATCGGTCCACGAATGCTTTAAAATCGTGATCGAGGTTGTCACCGCACTGTGGCGTTGACCAATGAGCTTATGAATCGAGGTATCAAAAGGAGAATTTTGGAAACCCACGCACGTCTACTCAATCACTTCCAACTGTCACCCTCAGGAGCTGCACATGAATCTATTTCGTTTTGCCAGATGGTTAATTTACAAATGTATATAAAGCACATTTGTGGGGATTAATCTGGGGTTAAAGCGAGCTACACGATTTAATAATTGTGAAAAGAGACGCGCCCCCCTCGGGCACAAACAGCGGAGCACCCATCACCTCGCCGCCATCTTTTCCCCGAAAATACAAAGCAGACAAAGAGCATGGTGGTCTTTCCGGGCGATGAGGACGGCACACGCGTTCGCGAAGACACCCCAGTTGGAAAAGGGGGGCAATCAGGTCCGGCGGGCACCAATCCGGCCCGATTGAGGCCATCGCCATTAACGCACGCCCCCCCGTGTCTCTCTCCAGCTCCTCGTGTGGCACAAATGCCGAAGCCGCCATTTTGTTCAGAGCCGGAGCGCAGCCGAGCCCAGGGCAGCAGCGAGCTGCTACAGCTACACCGGCCGGGGGAGGAAAGACGCCGGCTGCAGGAACTAAACCGCACCGCCCAAGGCTTGCCGTCTGCAGAGCTGCGGACTGGACGGGTGTTTCATTAACCGACCCTTCTAATCTCGGCTCCACATCGTCGGGTTTTTTGCTGCAGAAAAAGGCCGTGATCTTAGAATACAAAAGTGTAGCTGCAGCAAAACCATGCCATTTTAGCCCACATCAAATTTACTGGATCCTATATGAGGGAAGGCAACCGGACAGATTAACCTTCGGTTGTTTTTCTACTATTTTGTAAGGATTGATAGATATGCACTAAGGTTTAGGTACCAATCAAAGGTTAAATAAAGTCACCCCGTCCCAGCACTCCCCAATCACAGGTAAACAAAGCGGTGAAAGTGTACGATATACCCGCGGGTTCTACATAAGCACTGGACACGTTCGCAAAGGGATTCAAACACACCAGTAAAGCATGAGATGCGTAAAATTCTAAAAAAAATAATAATAATAATTTTGCATTCTCACCTTATCAACGAAAACCGCCGCGCCAGACGACCAACACTGAGGACAGCAGCCGTCCGCGTCACCCAGGGTCTCAACTGGTAGAGAGCGAGCCTACACGTCACCAAGACAACAGCCAATCCGAGTAGCACGTTCGTCGCCGCAAGAGGACGTGACGTCAGTGAGATTTTACTACGGCTTCTTTTCAGAAAAAGAAACAACCCAAACAGTACGGCCGAGCGTGTCTTTTATGGTTTATTTTCCCCTGGAATTACTTTAATGCTTTACATTAAAGAAAGATAACCGTTTATTTAATTGTCAACACTGGAGTTACAGGGAGCTAATCGTTGTTATTTCTTTCTTTAAAAATGGGGATCCATGTCGGTTTAGTAAAAATATAAAAACTTAGAATTTATGTGTAAGATTCCACACGAGCGTTTCTGGGTAGAAAACAGCTCTGTTGTCAGAATTGCACACCCCGTCGGGTTGAAATCTCTGGTCATAGAAAATTATATATTATCAGAGAGTTTTCAAACAGAAATACATTGCAACAAAATATTTCCCTACCACTTGCATTGGATCCTTCTACAAACAATGAAGATAGACTGTCTGAGTGATTGAATTATCTCATAAATTATATATTGGTGCCAAACTATAACAGAAGTTATTTAAATGGAGAAAGTGCTGTAAAAAAACGAGCTATAGAGTTACACAAGAGAAGGCAAATGTTTAAAAGAGGCTTGGGTAGTTCTAGGCCACTCTGGCACACCTCCACACTCTTCAGTTCAAATCAGCTCAACCATGCAGTTAAGATCAGATGTGTAGTAAAAGACAGAGAAGCAAATTTCCCATCTCTACATCTGAACAGGGGATCTAGAGGGTCTGGATGAGGTTTTTATATAACCACCGTTATCAAGTGACCTGTAACCTTCAACCCTGTAACTCACCAGTGCTTCCAGTGTGTCAGAACAGGTAATAGGAGTGTCTGCTGGGCACCAGGTTCTGAACCAGAAAGTCAACTCCTTTTCAGGAGCTCTTTCCTCATAGCAATGCTCTCACCTCAACATAGACTGCAAACTACCAAACTAACAAGAGCATTTAAAATGTGCAGACCTGCCTGTGAACAGATCCAGTTTGTCAAATTAAATCCCAGTGCTGAGCTCTGTGCAGGATTGCTGATTATACACTGTAGCCTTGAGAGGAAGATATCTTCTGTTTATGTCTTTGGTGAGAGGTTTCACAGGGGCACAGATCCATGGTCCCAAACCTAACGTTGACAGATTCTCCTGACTGAGGTTTTTCAAAAGAAAGGACCAAGGTTCATCAGGAAGTGAATGGAGACACTAAAGAGTGGCGGCAGTTTGACTGTAGTTTAACACTTCAGGCACCTTTGCACTATTTATCAGAGTTTAGATGCTGCCCTGAACATAACCTCCTACCGACCTACTTGATACGTGTTGGTTTTGGGTCAATGAGCTATAGATTCGCAGTTCTGTGTGACACCAGTGGTCAGTCTGTAACACCCAACTCAAAGATGAGTCTTTGTGCATCCATTCGACATGAATACTGTACCCGAGTCGGAAAAAAAACAGATCGAACATGCTTGCTGCTTTAAATGTTTTAGCATTCGTTTTATCTTGAATACAGTTTGAGTCGGTGAAAAAAGCGTCATTGCAGAGGAAACAGCGGAGTTGTAAACGGAGCAGACAGAGCACTCAGAAAAACTTACAGTTCCAGCTTCCCAGCACCAGAGGGAGCCCTCTGGTGTTGGGAAGCTGGAACTGTAACACAGAGCAACAGGAGTACATTGTGAGCTGTTAACTGCTGCAAGAAAAGGACACAATAAGAAGTTTATTTTGAAATTTGCTCTTCACAAAAGAAAGTACGGTGTTAAACGTATGCAGTAGGTGCTCAAGAAGAGAAAACACAGTCAAGTTTTGGCCTGGCAACAGAAGACAACAATAGAAAAACATGTTTTTCCTTATTAAATATTTTAACAATTTAATCTAATAAGAGTAATGTTGAATGCGACCCCGCTTGTGTTTAAAGACAACACAACCTTTATCAGGTTTCTTTGATAACAGAAGTCTTGTTAGAAAAACACTGTTACCGTTTGTTAACTTTTCCCTCTTTGAGCATCAACTGTGTAATACTGGTTATTTTTTTAGCATGTCTTTGAAAACAAATGGGTTTTAGTCATATTTCTCTGTCTTAATATTCAGCATAGAGAAGAGATTTTCTCCTCTATTTCACTGTATATTTCTACTACGACGTAATTTATACGGGAGCAAAGTGATTTATAGTTTGTGCAAAGCCCTAGGTGCGGATTAAGGGGGTTCTTAATTTCGCTGAGTAAATTATACCTTTTGTAATGATAATCGTCATCACCATATCGGATTTAGTCTTCCCTCATCTGCCTTCGAAAACACTTATATTCCCGGCCAGATCTCGTATCTCCCAGTTGTTGTTCATGTACGTAAAGCGCAGAGTTCAGGACCACGGAGAGATACATACAACCACACTTTTTTAAAAACCAGTGTAATCCAGTCATGTATGGAGAGATACATACAGCCACACTATTTTTAAAACCAGTGTAATCCAGTCAGCGTGACTCGGGAAAAGCTTGGAACGGCGTTTTTTAATCGTAATGTATCTCAAATTTACATTGACATTAGCGTAAGGCAGTCGACGAAGAGTTGAATCGAGTAGAACGGCAAACTCTTCTGCTTTTCCTCTACGACAAGGTCAAAACTCGAAAGAGGAGTTTTCGCTGTGCATTAGGAAAAGGTCTGTGGCCACGTCTCTCTTCAGCAGTGGGATGGTAGCCTGAGACTGCCGAGAGGGTTGATGTTCACTTTTAAAAATGTATTTTAAGTGAAAAGGCAGTTTTATTTTTTAATGTGTTTCGCATGGTTATGCTGTGTTCGAGTGTTTTTCTTTTGCTATTACCAAAAGTAAAAAAAAAAAGTAGTCTCGAAGCACTCTTTCGTCTTTCGAAAAATATATAGAAAAATAAAAAATATTTATGATCAGTTTTCTTCTGCTCTTCGTTAGATGCACTGTTGTTTTCTTCATGTTGCGTGGTATTTCCCCCCGAAAGACAGGAAAGACACTTCGCTTTAGCTGCCCCACTTGGCTAAGTGCCAGGTACGTTTAGCGCAAGAAACAGCTAAACGCCTCGTCGAGAGAGCAATTCAATTACGTTTCCGCGATTCCGTTTTTTTTTCTTCTGCTCATCACAAAATTCTAGCTTCCGAAGAGAAAGCGTGTATATACATTAGTTGCGATGCCAACTATATCTGAGTCTGTTCTGACAAAACAAAGTAAACAATCAGGGAAGATAATGTGAATAAAGACACGCAGTTTCCCTGAAATGTTCTTTAGATCACAAACATTACCCTGAATGACTTTAGACATGCGTGTGTAACTCCTTTATTGTTTGAATGCCATTTTAACTATCAGCAAACTATACCTTTATTAACCTTTCGGAGATACCAGATCCCCTGTGTAAAGATTAAGATGGAATTTATTTCCTTTAATAACTAAAAGCATTTAATTGGTGAATAGTACAGGAAATGTTTGCTTTTAGAATTTTTATAAGTTAATTGTCTGTTTTTAACCTTATGGTAGTGGAAGAACTGAATTGAGTGTCATGGAAATATAACTATCAAGGAAGCCACAAGAGAGAGTTCTCACCTGAGTAAGGTCTTTATTTCAATATTACAATATTGGGAGCCCTGCTGCAACCAGTGCAACCAGAGCATAAGATGTTGCGCTGTAAAAAAGCTCAGCGCTTTGTCCCTTCTAAAACTTCCCCTTTCCCTAAGAGAAAACAGATTACATCATAAAGCGAGAGAAGAAGCACCACCAGATTTGTTATTCAAAGCTTATCAGTTACTTTCGGCTAATTCTAACGACCCAGACAGCATACCTGTATATTGTTTTGGTACATTGTCTTCTAAAGTAACCTAAACAGTGTACTTTGTTGATGCACTGTTTTCTAAAATTCTGCACGTACTGAAGCACAGCAATTACATCCTTGAAATATATTTTCTAAAAGCACCAATATATTTTTTGCAAAGCTCTCTACATTTTAAGAATCAATTTACTTATTAGATTTCCATTTCATGAGTGACGTTGAATATGGTTTTGTACTATCATTGTATTATTGTTGTATACGTTTCTGAACTTTTGATGTGTAGGAAAAAATATATATTCTGATGAGAAAAAGAAACACAGCTTTTCTGAAATGAAAACTCTATAGTTATATCTTATGTACTTTCAAAAAAAGTTGTCAATTTGTTTTAAGCCCCCTGACCAGCAATACAGCTTGTGCAGTGAGGCATTGCAACTTGCCAATCACACGAAAGCTCGTTAGCTGCACTTTTACCCAACGAGGTCCGGGTGGAACAATGCCAGATCAGGTCACCTTTAAAAAGGCCTTAATTCAAAGCTTAGGTCACTGCAAGAAAAAGGCCACACTAAGTCAGTTTTCTGTGCATTTCATAATGCCTCAAATGTCACCAGAAGCAAGGGAGAAGGCCATTGACATGCTACTGTACAGGCAGGCATGTCATGTACCAACTGTACAAAATTTACATTGTGTATTAGGAAAATGTCCCGTTATTTATTTCAACAAAATGAGTCAGGCTGGAAATATTAAAACTTCACCTCAGATAACCCCCACTCTGATTGGCAAAAAGATCATCTGCTGATCCCCAAGAGGCAACATCAGCTACAGCCATTCTACCATGGGAACTCTTTGCAGTGATCAAGAACCTGCAGTGGTTATGTTTCATTCAGGCCTTAATTCAAAGCTTAGGTCACTGCAAGAAAAAGGCCACACTTAGTCAGTTTTCTGTGCATTCCATAATTCCTCGATTGTCACCAGAAGCAAGGGAGAGGGCCATTGGCATGCTACAGGCAGGCATGTCATGTGCCAGCGTTGCCCGACCCTATGGAGTAAGCTGCATCCTGACTGCAGAGAAGGTTTCAGCAGACCAGCAGGACAGATGACCATCCAAGATCCGGTCACCCTCGAGTGACCACACCAGAGCAGGACCAACACATCGGACTGGTCCATCTGAGAGATCGTTCCAGATCTGCCACCCGTACTGCTGCTGAAACTGCTGGCAGACACAATGCTCGGACAGTGACACAGTGACAGGACAGTGAGGCTCCATGCTGCTGGCCTTCGAGCAAGGTGACCTGTCAGAGGCCCTCTGCTCACACCCGACTGGCTTGGGCCAGACAGAGGCTGCGATGGACTCGTCAGCAGTGGCATCAGGTCCTCTTCACGGATGAGTCGCTCTTCAGCCTGTTCCACTCAGACGGGAGGGCCAGAGTGTGGAGGAGGAGGTGTTGCATTTATTTTTTCCATCAGTATAAACTCAAACAATATTACAGTTAAAAATAAGATATTTCTTTCAAGCTACTTAAGATATTAGACTTTAACTGGAGACTCTATGGTCTTAACCCTAGTAAGTTTTTTACATTTCTATGTGAAAGAACTAAATACTACAAACATTTTAAAAGTGTAACAAAACTAGGAGCACAAATGACTGATTTTATATTGTTTTAAGGACAATTGACTAATAAACAATTTTTGCTTTCAAATTGTTTAAAGGTATTTTGAACGGATGTTTAATTTTGTTCATAGGACTGTGGGATGAGACAATGTTAAATTTATTCATTTTGGGACTATTTCTGCAAATCAATGAAAAACTGAATTAATTTGCCCATTTTAGTGGCAAAAGATAACTCTGAATTTTCTCTCCACAGGCATTTTCAAAAGGGCTAATAAAGTTGCTAATGCCAACTGAAACAACTAATAATGAAGACACCAAGTGTTAGGCTGGTCTACAGCTCAGAACACAAGGAATGGACCCTATGCAGGTTCCAAGGACATAAAGAACCAAAACAGTAAATGAAAGTAATCCAAGGCCAGGGTCAAAAGGTGAGCAGGGAGTCCAGAGCAACAAGGAGAAATCCAGAATCAACATCCAGGAACAATATCCAAAAAGTCAGAGTCAAGGGGCATGCCAAAATCCAAAAACCAGGTAAGCAGTTACCAAAAACAAAAGATCAAGGTCTGAAAACACCAAACTGACAAAAACCAATTCAGAAAGCTACAGACAGAACTCAAGAACAGAGAAAAGGTGAACATTGAACAGGTTGGAAAACAGAAGCAGGAGACAAAAACAGGAACCAGGGAAGAATGTACCAAAGTCTCAAACAAGCAACCAGAGTAGTGGCAACAATAGTGAGCACGGCTTGAACCATGAGCAGGGTTTAAGTACGCTGGAGCAGGGGAGGCGTGGTGAGCTGGGACACTAGGGGAGTAATGTTTGGCTACAGACATCTGCTTGTTCGGATCCTCGGCTGTGTAGTCGGAGTAGGCGATAGAGGTTTGCGTGCCCTCTGGTGGACAGATGGTGAAATCGTAACACTAAGTGTTTATTACTATAATAGTTCTGTCATTTTTATGTATATCATGACAGTACATACAAAAAATGTCCCATCAGATATCTGACTATATATAAACCCTCTGTTGTGTTGTTGCTTTGTTTTCAATTGCATTTGCAATTGATTTGTATTAAACATCATACAGTATTCAGAAACCCTGTCTATTCTGCACTCAGAAACAGCTGCAAATGCACAGAATTCTGTCAGCCTACAAGACTGAATCTAGAGTGCTGTCAATCTGGACACTCAGTGGCCTCTCTGTGTGATGTCCTACACAGGCAAGAATGATAGCCGAGTATTTACACAACAGGTTAAAGCTCTAAAGGATATGGGATTTAACTCACATTATAATAATTGTGGAAAATATACTTGTTTTATTTATAGTCATTGCTCTTTGCAGTTCATTTAAACACTTATGGTCCAATGATATCTTTGTGAAGTAATTGAATTTGCTATAAAGGCAGTACTGTTGTCTGTTCAATTACTGCTACACAAAACATGTATTTCTGAGTTATTTATTTTCTTAGCAGGTGCCAGTATTCCGGAGTTCAGAATATATACTGTACAAAATTTACATTGTGTATTAGGAAAATGTCATGTTATTTATTTCAACAAAATGAGTCAGGCTGGAAATATTAAAACTTCACCTCAGATGACCCCCACTCTGATTGGCAAAAAGATCATCTGCTGATCCCCAAGAGGCAACATCAGCTACAGCCATTCTCCCATGGGAACTCTTTGCAGTGATCAAGAGCCTGCAGTGGTTATGTTTCATTCAAGCTGTCAAAGGTACAAGATTAGGTAGAGATAAGGACTGAGCTGTCTTGACCTGCGGGTCAAAGGTTATAGTTCAGTGGTTCCCAACTGGGTCTGAAATCCAACAGTTTTTTAAGGTCCTCCTAAACCCTGAAGAGCTCTTCACTGGGGAGACGTATTAAACTGATCCAAACTAGTAAAAAATCCCTGTCAGGGTAACAGACAATATAACAAAGACAACAGGAAATACACAGTAACAGACCATGTAATTCGGTCGTGTTGGGAACTGTGACAGGATGTGTTGGCTGCAAAAGAAAAGGCAAAAGTCCATTCTGTTTTTAAGAAGAGACTGGCGTCTGTGACTGGGTGGCATCGTGGTTAGTAGTGCTGGGGCCGTGGGTTCAGTTCAGGATATGCGGTACTGTCTGCATGGAGTTTGTTCATTCTCCCTGTCTTTCTAGGGATTTCTTTCAGGCTCTCTGGCTTCCTTCCATATTCCAAAGATATATTAGCTTTTGGGATATTTGGCCCTAAAATGTGAGTGTGTGCTCTGCAGTGGACGGGGCAGGTCCAGGGTGTATGCCCCAGCCCCTGGCTTGTGCCGTTGCTCCTCTGCAATCCTGAAACGGGAGAGGTTAGAATTGTTGGATGAATCGAATAGCGTCCGAACGTCCTAATCCTTAAACTCTCAAAACCAGAAAAAGCCGATCATATCAAAGCAGATACTTAACGAATTCACACATAGCTCAAATTACAGAAACAATAACAAACCCGCCCTCTTTCATCAACTTCCATTTTCGATTAGAATTAAACGCGAAATGACATCCAAGGTACAGTATGTTTTTTAATCCACTGTAAATACGTCTGCAAAAATAATTTAATAATCAGTCTGAATTTGTCGATTCGGCACTGAAAACCGCTTTGCTAAAACATGATCTGCGGTAATTTCTCGGTTGTTTCCCTGTCGTAAACGCGACGCTCCCAAGAGAAGTACTGATTTTAATTGTTCTAGCACGGTAATTGTAAAACGCAGTTTTACTTGACTTTTTAAAAATAGATTTGATAAACCAAAGAATAATAGATTGCCTGATAAGGGAAATTATTAGCTTATGCTACTCTGTGTAATTTTTTTTCGATTCTCGAAAGTCTTTCCAGATGATTATATTTTATTCAACAGGTTACCAAGACATTCCATTGTTTTGTGCAGTGTGCATGTCTGTCTTTCTCTGTGTAGGGTTAACTGCTGTGAGGTTACACTGACCAGCCGGAGCTGCAGATAGCTTCAAAATCTTTTGAAAAGCTACAGCTGACTTGAGGTGTTTGCGACATGAAGTCATTAATCATCCTTGTACTGGTTCTTCAGGGTGTTAAAGGTAAGATACCTGTTAAACTCGGCGATACTGCTACCATGTAAATAAGAAAAGCAAAATGAATATTTGAACTGGAAGTTTAAAACCCGAGATTTATCCGCATATCTCTTCTTCTCTTTTCAGTATTGAAGAAAACCTTACTTGTTCCTTATTTATTCACATTATCTGTTTATAATAAAGAGCCTTTTTACTTTATAGAAGAACAAACTACATTTCAAAATAAAATGTAATAAAATTATTTTTTTTCCACTTTCGCACGACTGTAGACATCTATATGAGAAGAAAACGTAATTACAGCACAGGCATAGTATGGCTTTGAATTCACTTTAAGAACGTCAGCAGAAAAGACTAGTTTCAATTTCTCGATTCAGTACTTGCAAAACCGGTTTGCTAAACAAATTCTGCGTTCATCTCTCTGTTGTTTCTGTATCGTAAACACAACGCTATAAAAGGAAGAAATGCATTATAATCACTCTCCGCAAGAGAAACGCTGTTTTACTTTACTTTTAAAAAATACTTTTGATAAAACAATAATTAAATGGTAAATACGGGAAACTGTCAGTTAGTGCGGTTCGATATAAAATCTTCCAATTCTCGAAAATGTCTCTCCAAAGAAACACCAAAATTACAAACGTTTTTAAAATTGTTTTATTGAACCGTATTATATCTACCTCAGGACGCGGAGGCACTCGAGAATTATGCAGAATGGTAGCTTTATTGAACAGCAAAGCTTCCAAAGAACAACTAACTAAACTCATCTAAACTACTTCTCCCGGAATCACGTAACTTAACCCCCCCACATCCCCTGTTAAAAGAGAGGTACAACTAACGTTCAGTTCCACAGTACACCACATCCCTTACCCCTAATCCACATAGTCCTTCACCCCTACAGAGGGGCCCCATGCTGATGTCTCGTACAGGGGACACTATACCTTTCACTCTCAGGCTCTGCGCTGGTGTCCATAGCTGGTGAAACAGGGACAGGAATAGAGGGTGTGTCCGAGTGGACAGAGTGGTCCAAACATCCTGAATCCTCAACACTAGACAACTGCAAGCTATCAGGCTCAACCGGCAACCATCCCTGCATCTGATCCACATGGCAGAGATGAGTGCGGCCATCAGCCGTCACTGCCCTGTATGACAGTGGTCCTGTTGCCTCCACCTCTGTAGCAGGCACCCACTTTGGGCCCCCAGCGTCACTACAGATTTGCACCTGATCCTGTAGTTCAAATCTACGAGCTACACCCCCACTCTTTGAAAACTTGTGCGTATCGTTGTACAATAGCCTGTGCTGAGGGCTGTATGATCTGATTTACTCCTGTAACCTTGATGCCAGGTTGTTCAAAGCAGTCACGCCCCAGCAAACTAGTCCCTCTCCCTTTGATGATGAGCAGTGGTAATTTGCATCGCTTATTATGATATTATACATCCACCCTGATCTCTCCCACCACTGTCTGAGTTTGGTTTATTTCAGGCGGTGTGTTGGGCCAAAAATACTGATACGTTGCATCATTTAGAAGTGAGCAGGCTGATCCCAAATCCACTTCCATTTTATATTTCTTGTTCCTAATCAAGACTTCTGCATAATACGCCATTCTCCTTTGTTCTCTTTGATGTACGCTGTAAATTCTATACTCCTGACTGTCATTCTGGACACACCCAATCTGTCCCGTGAGCTCCTCATCCTCTGTTTCAGTCACTGTGAGCAGTTTACTGAGATCCGTCTCATCTGGCAATCTCCTCTTTTGTTGCGGTTGTGGCACACAGCTGTAGAAAAGTGATAATCATTCAGATCGTGTAAACCTCCACATTGAAAACAAGGTTTTTCTTCATGTTCTCTGCTGTCATACTGAGCCCTATTTTTTCTGGTTTCCTTAGGTCTGATGCACCTCCACTGGTATTAGAGTGCTTGTTTCAGGTTCTGGCCTCAACTGGCGAGAATTTATGGTGGCTTTTTCTGCAGCCAGTGCTTTTTCCTCAGCCATTTTAAAAGTTAGTGTTGGTTCTGCCAGTAGGTGGCGCTGCAGCGCTTCATCATGGATGCCACACACTAACGTGTTTTGCAGCATGTCCTCCAGCTGGTCTCTTAACTCACAATGCACTGACAATTTCCTCAGTGCCACTATGTAGCTTGCTGTGGCTTGGTCTGGCTGCTGTGTACGATGATGGAAATAAAATCACTGCACTATAGTGGACAGCTTTGGGTCATAATGTTTTCGCAAGCACTCAATTCATTCTGCATAAGCTACTTCAGTAGGTTTTCATGAGGCTACAAGAGATCTGAGCATTGAATATGTAGCTGCACTGCAAACGTTAAAAGAAGTGAACGTTTTTTTTCAGGTCTCACAAAGTAATTTGTGTAATAAGTCTACACTATACATGATGTTGCATCTATTCAGTAACTGACTTTCTTCTGTTGTCACCTTCACTTAATATACTCCCTACGGAAATCCAAGAGGGTCATTTATGTTAACACATATCCTTACAATACTCCAGTCTTTCTGCATATTCCAGCCACAAACTCTCTCTGTTTGCCATAAACTCTTCCATACGTCCAATAGTCGCCATTTTAGACAATGTTTATGCCGTCAGTATCTGTACAAGCGAAAAGGCAACCGACACTCCTGTGATAACCATCGTGGCATAAAGGATGGCATGATGGCTCATGTGCTGGATGATGGTGAGACCTCAGAAACCTTCCCTGTGACAAATGGAGTAAAGCAAGGGTGTGTACTTGCCCCGACACTGTTCAACATGATGTCCTCAGGCATGCTGTCTGATGTTTTTTGCAACAGTGAGGAAGGCATCCACATCAGATACAGGAAAGCAGTCACCAAGGTGAAGGAGACAGTCGTCAGGGACTTCCTATTTGTCGATGATTGTGCACTCAATGCTGCCAGCGAGCAGGACATGCAAGCCAGCATGGACAGTCACGGGATCGACACTCAATGTCGTAGATAGCTTCACCTATCTGGGCAGAAATCAGGCATGTGAACATAAATGAAGAATTGAACTGCAGAATTGCTAAGGACAGTAGTGGGTTTGGGAGGTTGCGAGTCAACGACTGGGAATGTAGACGTATTAGTCTCAAGCTGAAAGTCTACAAGGCTGTAGTACTTCCAACATTACTTTATGCATGCGAAACTGGACCATCTAGAGCAGACACGTCAGACAATTGAAACATGTCCACATGAGGTGCCTGCACAAACTGCTGAAAATCAGGCAGCATGGTAAGATTCCTAACAATGAGGTTCTCGCACCCTGCTGCAGAAGACTCAGGCCTGATGGTGTCCACATGAGGTGCCTGCACAAACTGCTGAAAATCAGGCAGCATGATAAGATCCCTGACAATGAGGTTCTCACCCGCACTCACACCCTGCTGCAGAAGACTCAGGCCTGATAGGCCTGTCATGTCCTACACGTGGATGATGAGTGTCTTCCCAAGAAGCTCTTGTTAGGTGAACTGGCAGAGGGAAAGCGCCCAGTTGGGAGACCCAAGATGCGATTTAGGGATAGTCTAAAAACCTCCATGAAAAGCCTAGGAATCTCTGTTGACACTTAGGAAAGCTTTGTATCTGAACACTCAGCATGGTACAGCGAGATCCTCAAAGGAACAGAGGCTGCAGAAGAACAAAGCATAGCCAAGGCCAAAAGCAAGCGTGAGACAAGAAAAGCCAGAGCGGTCAGCACCTCCACCACAGCAAACCCTGGTCTTAATGCCATATTTGTGGTAGAAACTTCCGTGCCCAGATTGGACTCATCAGCCACCTCAGGACACAATCAACTCAATCTTAATCTCTTGATAGTTTATCGACATCCATGCACAATCGCCCTCATGCGCGGAGCGGTATTTCTTTCCCTGCTTGAGCTTGGTATATGGACATCTTCTGCCTACCTCTTCCCTCCGCCTCGTTTCCAGTATTATATCTAAGAACACGGAGGCACTCGAGGATTATGCAGAATGGTAGCTTTATTGAACAGCATAGCTTCCAAAGAACAGCTAACTAAACTAATCTAATCTCCTAAACTAAACTAATCTGACACCTGAAGAACACTCCACGGCCGAAACGTTGTGTTCTCTTTCTTCTTTTTTTCAGCATGGAATAAACCTATTACTTGTTCCTTTGCAGCCTACGCATG